CGATGCCATACTGCTAACATGTGGCGGTGAAAGCGTGATCTACCGAGATACGCGCTCACTGATTGCCCTGATACACGCATAAATGCACTCATGAATGGTTAAGGGATAGCGTACCGACACGACGTTCTGCCGGCGAGACGTTCGGCGGCCATCCCGTCGAGTTCCGCTATCTTGGAGTAAGCGTTCCACCTACTCCGAAGATACGCCTTGCGCTAACCACGGCGCTATTTACCCCGCAGACATAATTGGCCGAGGGCAAAACCTTGAAGTAAAGACCAAGACCCACCTCGCTCCAATTCACCTCCAACTCCAACAATTCTCACACCACATGCACGGACTCGCTCACGTTTGTACCCATTGCTCCAGGAGCTTCAAGCGAGCAGAGCATCTGATTCGCCATACTCGTACACGTTCGTGCCTTCCTCTAAGTGACTCCACGATGAGGGCGTCGTCAGAACTGATGTCAGCATAGATACTAGAGAGAAGCCGTACTCGTGTCGATGCGGACAAGCGTTTACACGACGTGACCTGCTTACTAGACATTGGCGCATCACGCACCATGCTGGCAATCCTGATGCAGAGTCGACAACGTCGACTGAAACAGCGACGACAATAGACGCACCGGCTTTGAACGTCCCCAGCGCTGGGGCCGTCGAAGCGCATCTCGTCCCGCAGGTCCACGCAAGCCAGCTTGATTTGCAACATCCTCCGCCCACCTATCAAGAACTCCAGCCAGCGCCGCCATATCGCGACGAAGGGTTTGAAGATTTCCGTGACTTTGTAAACTTCATCGATGGTGTTGGACTATCCGCTCAATGGACGCCTGAGTACGACTTTGACTGGATGCGACTAGGAGAACCTCGTCAGGAATCTCGGCGGCACTCCCGAGAACCAGAGAATCAGCCTTCCTCCCCAAGTGCAGAGGACATCGGCACGCCTTTCAGCACATGGCTACCATCAGCTCCAGCTGACGATGAGGTCCATTTGCGATCCAACACGCAGGATGGCGAGAAGAGAACGAGAAACGGAACGTACAACGTAACGGATGAGCATCGCAACTTCCTGGTGTCGCTTCTTGAGAGCTTCGCTCCTCCCATCGCCGACTTCCAGATCCCTTCCCGACATACCCTTACTAGGTATATCACCGCGTTCTTTGGTGGTTTCCATTCGCACTTCCCGTTCATACATGCGCCAACTTACAAACCGTCATGTTCGCCTCTAGAGCTGACACTGGCCATGTGTGCAGCTGGTGCGCAGTACTGCTTTGAGCGAAGAAGCTCCGAGCGTCTCTTTCGCGTATCGAAAGCCATTGTCTTCGAACGTCTGCGGCAGGAAGAGGCACATTTCGGCCCACAAACACTATCTTTCATCGCTTCTACAAATATATGCTCACCGGAAGCACATTTCACCAGCAGACGCACAGGACCGTGGTCGCCTTTGGACATGGCGAAGACTCTACTGATTCTGGTAGGGTTTGCGACATGGGAAAGGAAAGACCTGCTTCAGCAAGCGTTCGCACTTCGAGGTCTTCTAGTGCAGTCACTTCGAGATATTGGTCTCAAAGAAGAGGAGCCGCCCAGGACTATATCGACCTCTAGAGCAGCAATGTGGGATAATTGGGTACAGCGCGAGTCATCCAGACGCACAAAGCTCGTGGCCTTTTGTTACATCAACGTGCATAGTATTGCATACAACATCCATCCTCTGCTTTGGAGCAGCGAACTTCATCTGCGACTCCCTTGCTGTACACCGGATTGGCAGGCTAGTAGTGCCGCACAGTGGGCTGCGCTACAACGCGACGGACGCGAGGATCACATGCCCTTTCAGCAAGCGTTGTCGATACTTTTGCAGGGAACGACAAATGAAGGTAAGGTACTATCGGAAGAGCTATCAAACATTAATTAACATACTTCAGAACTAGTCCACCCGATTCCAAGCCCAATCGGCAACTACATCCTTCTTCATGCACTGCTTCAACGGATTCATGTAGTCAGGGAGCTCTCCTTCCCCGCCACATCACCTGCAACAATCTCAGCTGCAGAGCTACAAGTCATTGGTCGCGCTCTCCGCGCATGGACCTCTCTCTGGCAACAAACCCCGGAATCAATGCTTGACCCCAACAACGAAAGCGGACCCATCCCTTTCACGTCAAGCGCACTACTAGTGGTAGCTTACGTGCGGCTCTCCCTCGACATAGGACCTTACCGTCATCTAGAGTCGCGCGACACCGATGTCATAGCCAACGGTCTAGCAAACCTCCCAGACATCGAGCGCAATGACAACATACTGTCAGCTCTGCTGTACTCAACTCATGCACTCAGTATACCCGTCCGACTAGGTATCGACAGGGTTGCGCGCAGCCAAGCGTTCTTCTGGAGCGTTCAGCATGCCATATCGAGCTTCGAGTGCGCCATCTTCCTTGGTAAATGGCTGTGCTCTATCCCGAGGCCGTTCCGCGAGGAGTCGCTGTCGCGATCTGAGCATCGAATCCTTCACTGGGTGAGATGCATCATCAAGGAAGCGTATGCGGTGATTGACTTTGAGGATGCTGAAGAGACTGATGGTTTCTTGACTGTACCCAGTGAGCCGTTTGCGCTCGGTCTGGCTGTACTGAATATTTGGTCAAGGTTCTTTCGTGGTAACACGCAGTGGCAGTTTGTTGTGAATCTCGGGTTGAGCTTAGAGAAATACATCGCCAAGCTGGCTTGAACTATATATTTGTTCGAAACCCACAGCGCCTCATACCTTATCATTATGCATCTTCTCATCATGAGCCTTGACAGTATCCATAACCTCACCATCCCCATCGGCAAAAGCCCTATCCCCGAATGCAATCGCGATCTCCTCAAGCGAATGATTCGCCGTCTCAACATAGTAGAAGTGCGCCAGGCCTGCGGAGAAGAGACAGAACCCTGCGATGACAAGGTAAAAGTACCCACCGATTCCCGCAAAAGCGTCCGGCGAAACCATGCCGATGATGAAATTGAAGACCCAGTTTGACGTCGTCGCAAGCGCCATGCCCTTACTGCGGCTGCGGAGCGGGAAGATCTCCGCAGGTAACAACCATGGCATTGGACCCCAGGTGAAACCGTAGACAATGTTGTAGAGCATGATGAAAGCGAACTGGCCGTTTGCGCGTGTCATGATGGGCATGGAAGCTTCTGTGAAGGCGCAGACGATGCCGAGAAGAGCGGCCATTAGCACACCGCCAAGGATGAGGAGCGGCTTGCGGCCCCAGCGGTCGGCTAACCACCAGGTTGCGACAGTGGCAGCGGTGTAAGGGAGTGCATTTGCGGCGGTGTAGAGCAGGGATTTCTCGTCTGAGAAGCCGGCGCTGGAGAGGGTGGAGGGGAGGTAGAAGGATATGATGTTTATGCCGTTGAGTTGAGCGAACATTTGGACTGTGACGCCGACAATTGTGCGTTTGCGATAGCGGGTGAACATCTCCATCCAGCCAGCCTTTCCGAGTTCAGCTTCGTAAACGACGGCCTCTTGGATTTCGAGGAAGACCTTTTGCACATGCGGTGCGTCGGTATCGCCGCTCGAGTGGAGATCTGCCACTGTCTGAAGGCTTTCTTGCATGAAACCGTTGTTTGCTAGCCATCTTGGAGTCTCCGGTAGGAAGAATGACATGACCACCAAGATGAACGAGAGGATGATCTGAATGATGAACGGCCCCTGCCAAGATAGCGCGTTTGGAAGCATGAAGTGGAAGCCATAGTCAACCCAGCAGGACAACATATACCCCGCGATCAGGCATGTGTATTCGATGCCGACCATGAGGCCTCGAGCATGGGGTGCTGCAATCTCGGTTTGGATGATAGGAACTGTCATGGACAGGAAGCCGACTCCGAAGCCCTGGATCGTACGTCCGACGACGAAAGTTGCGAAACCCGGAGCGAAGATCTGGATGAAAGCTGAGAGGAAGTAGATCAGGCCACCGAGACGGACAGTGCGCTTGCGACCGATCATGTCTCCGAGACGTCCGGCGATGAGAGCACCGACAGCGGCAGAGGCTTGTAGGCAAGCAACAGAGATTCCTGTGATGGAAGGATTCACAGCTGCTGTGCTACCATCTGCACCACCGTAATCGCTGAAGAAACGTCTGACGAAGACTGGATTGACCAGTAGGCCAGACATGATACCTAGCGGAGTTAGTATTGTTGATCTACACGCAAGTACTCAAACGTACCGGAGTTGTAACCGAACAAAGCATCACCAAGACTGCCGAAGCCACATGTTGCAAACAACAAGGCTTTGCCCTTGATAGGATATCTGGCCGTGATCTTCTTCGGCTTCAATTTGCTTTCGAGCCAGCCTTGTTCAGCCGCGACCTGTCCCGCGATCTGCGAGGCACGTTGCTGGATGTTGGCGCTCTGGCTAGCGACCGAGTTACTGCGGGCAGCCATGTTTGGGATCAGTGTAGAGCAGGACAAGCCGAGAGAGGTAGTGCGTGTTATCGAGCACACGGAGAAGATGCGGTGGGATGATGGAGAAATCTGGGGAAGCCTGACGGCTTTATCGTCCCCAGATTTTCGTAGTGGAGCACATTCGGCATCATCGTATGTAGTCAGGTCATGTTACGGTTCCGGTCCTAACGCTGGCCCTGCAGCGACGAAATTTGGTCGGCATATGCTAGTGTGTTTCTCGAGAAGTTGATCAACGCTGTAGCGCTAAGGGATGCTTTGCCAGCCAATCAGAAGCGCTCTTCTCACGAGCCGCGGAACCGGTGCTGGGGCAGAAAACTCCGGGCTGGCGGCTCCGACTCGTGAACATCGGAAGGTCAGCAGCCTGCATGAGCCGCCGGAACCGTACTGCAGTCGCTCTCGCACTCGGGTAAGAATGCCTGGCCGGTGATATAGTCAGGGCCTCAAGATGGAGACATCAATTCTAATCATTGCCGTACACTGTTTTTCACAGTCATGTCTTCAGCTGATGTCCACGAACCCAAGAATTCCTCTGGGTCTTTGACGTCGCCTGAGAACCGACTCACAGCGCTGATGAACACGTCCTTCGTCCTGAGCCCATCCAGGGTGTTCTCATACGAGAATGGTCCAGTCCCAGGTCTTCCAACTCCCAGGCACATTCGCGTGAGGATTGTGGCTACCGGTCTTTGTGGTTCTGACGTACGTATCGCCCGCTGTAGTCTGTAGTGTGTTCGTCAACGTTGACGGTGATTTAGGTACATTACTGGCGGCATGGGCATATCGGCAACTATGTGGTCGAGAACCCGATCACTCTTGGCCATGAGTCTGCCGGTATCGTCGATGCTTGTGGATCAGCCGTCACAGGGTTGTCGGTGGGTGACCGCGTCGCATTGGAACCTGGCGTAGGATGCAACATCTGCGAGACATGTCGAAGCGGCCGATATAACCTATGCGAATCGATGCAGTTCGCTGCTACCCCTCCCTACAATGGCACGTTATCGACCTTCTACTGCCTACCCGAAGAGTGCTGCTACAAGCTGCCGTCACACATATCCTTCCGTGAAGGTGCCCTCGTGGAGCCGCTAAGCATAGCTGTGCATTGTTGCGGACTCGCCGGAAGTCTTCAGGGCAGGTCTGTGGCGGTAGTCGGGGCCGGGCCTATAGGCTTGCTGTGTTGCGCTGTGGCACAGGCTTTTGGCGCTGCGAAAGTTGTGGTCATTGACGCAGTGGCCCCCAGGCTGAGCTTTGCGACCGACTTCGGTGCCGACGACGTATACATGATGGAAGCTGGGTTTCCAGAAACGAATGCCCAGAAGGTTTTGGAGAAGGCTGGGCTGGCTACAGGGTTTGATGTTGTGATTGATGCAACAGGAGCAGAGCCATGCATCAACTGTGGTGTAGCTGCATTGAAACGCGGTGGAGTCTTCATTCAAGCTGGGCTGGGCTCTCCCAAGATCGCATTTCCAATCGGCCAGATTTGCGACAAAGAAGCTACGCTCAAAGGAAGCTTTCGATACGGGCCAGGAGACTACAAGCTTGCCATCCAGCTACTAGAGTCCAATCGTGTTCAACTAGATAGTCTTATTACTCATGAGTTCGCGTTCTCAGATGCGGAACAGGCTTTTCAGAATGTTGCGGATAGAGTCGGCATCAAGTCGCTCATATATGGACCAGGAATCGATAGGGCGTTCGCAGAGGGTCGCACCGAGCAGCATAGGGGTGTGTCCGATCTCCCGAGGCTCTAGTCTGTGATGCGCTGAACACATATCGCAATAATTGAATTGCTCGAATTGAGACGCGTGCCCACCAAAGGATGTTTGAGATGCGACAGCTAGAATTGTGGCTCGTTCCAGACGGAATCCCAGAACCAGTATAGGCCGTTGCCAGTAACATCAACGCCATTTTCATCGCTGATCCAGTCCAGCTCGCCTTCGAGGTTGAAGTCTCCGACGCTAGCATTTGTCCAATCATTGTGTTCGCTAGGCAGGTGATCCATACCACTGTCGTTCGTGCCCCATCGCGGGACTTCAGCTGTGTTGTCACGGGAGACGCTGTCGAGGGCGGCGGGAAACACTGTGAAGAGTATGTGATTAGATTGGTACGCAGCTTCGGGAATGCATCAGTCTTACCTCTCTGTACTGACGCCATGCTCTCGTGAACGCGCTGCATGCTGTCAACTGTACTCTGTTGCTGTCTGTTGTGTCCACTCGGTGGCAGTTGCGTCGGCAGACGAAGGGTGTCTTCGACAGACATCTGCGCGGTCCCGGTGTGCGATCTCGTCATATCGCTCTCGCCAAAGATGGCATCTGCTTCTCTGCGCAGTAGCATCTGGATGACGTCTTTGAGGACCGCATTACTCTGCATTGAGAGCTGTGTCCTTTTGCCAAGTAGCTCTTGCAAGCGAAATATGCGTGTGATGGTCCTTTTCACTTCCTGTGCTCTGTCCGAGAGTGGGTCAGACAGCGCCAACACAGCCATGACGATGGCGGAGTTGAACAGATTGATAGCCAAGAAAGCTACCAGGTGGCTATCAGTGGCTAGCTGAGAAAGCCGCGGTAGTTCAGTCACCTTCGATGTTCTCAACGCGGCGTCCCACCATTGCTCCGTGCTCGACATATGGCTTCTGTTGAGCGGGCTAGAGTCATGCACCGCATGAAATGGGGATTCGGTGTTCGTAAGGCTTGCTGGAGATAGTGCGTTACCATGCCCGCTGTCCGGCTGCGTCCTGATGAGGTGGTCCACTTGTTTTGCGATTAACGGGCGATTGAAGATGATCAGAAGGTTGTCAAATGTAAGCTGAAGGGACAACGCTTGCAGCTGGTGCACCCGTGCGGTGCGTGATTGATCCATACTGCAGTCAGCAGCCATGTCTAGTAGAAGATGAGGCGGCAGACGTCGGCGCCACGCCCAAAGCTTCTCCGTCACATCCGTGATCTGATCAGTGTATTGTGGTCCGCTCGGCCGTTCGTTGGGTCCCACGGCCCGCATCCCGAAGATGGTCTCGATGATGGGTGACGCGATGAGGTAGAGTTTGTTGAGCTCTCGTTGGTAGGACGAGTAACAAATTGTTAAATCGGCTTCTGGGGGGTTCGTCCCTCTGAAGTAGGGCGACTCGCATACGTCGATCGGGTGGTGTGTATTGCAGTCCTTCTCGTTGATGCCGATGGGCCGTCCGTACGTAATGGAAGCGAACCTGGTCAAGTTAGCTAATGATGCTACAGTATACGAGGAGGCTCAGACTCCGTACTGAGGTCCTTCGTATCTTCAGGGAGGGGCGCATTACCGATCCCATGTGTAGATAGTCCACCAGACTCTTTTCCTCTCTTCGACATAGTGAGGGTCGCCTCGTAGCGGCTGGCGGTGAAGGCCGATGGCTTGTGCCGTTCGAATGGTTGCGCCTAGTAACGCAAAGGATAGATTAGGCTTCCCATGGTAGACATAGTAGGAGCCGAGCAAGATACACGTCTGCACAGACGAGACGGTACTCTGGTCCATCAGTTCAGCCAACTGGGAACCCGCGCCTTGAACGAGGGACTGCGACCAGGCGTGCCAATCCTCGTCTGGAAAGTCCAGATCCACGTCCTTCTTGTGAGACTTGTACCATGCTCCCATTCCCACGACTGTAGACAAGAGGAGGAGGAATGACTTCTGCGACGGATAAGCAAGGCCATCCTTGATAGAGTCAAGTTTTGGCCGGAATCTTGGCTCATATATGACCAAGCTAAACCAATGCACCGAGTCGAAGTACTCTTCTAAGAGTGCCCGCATCATGTCGATTGGCGGCAGAGGATGCCCGAGAATGGCCGCTATAGGGCGCCTCTGGGTGCGATCCAGACGAGACGCTGGGGCTCTGCCATAGACATTGCCGCCCGGTATAGCTGATGTTGTCCGGCTCAATGTTGGCTGACTTCCCAGTCTGTAAATCTGGTGTGCAATATCCATGGCTGAGTTGGCTTCACCTTCCGCGATACTGGCGCGTCTACTTTCATCGCGACTGTTGTTTTCCGGGTCTGTCGCTTGACGCGTGTCGTCATGATGCTGAACCGGTGCCTGTGGTTGCTCATGTGAAGCTTCGCGTGAAGGGCCTTGGATGCGTCTCCTCTTCGGTGCGCGTGGAACTTCGACATTGCTTACAATGCATTCGACGTTTGCTCGAATGCAGAGCGCGCAAGGACGGGATGTGTCGCACTTGGATACTCAGTCGGCGGCGCGCGTGACAGGCGGTGGGAGGGCGTGACTGACTCGGCTCTTGTTGCGACGACACCTCTCACACGCCTTGCTGACCCTGGTGGGTAGCGGACGCCCGGCAGCGACATCAAGAGTTGCCGAAGACATTATTTAGGTGGTGCCATGGATGATGTTGCGATGGAACCTTGGAACGGATGAGGGCGCGCACGCGTCAGGCACGCCAAGTCAGCTGCGGAGCTCGCCGAGGTTTGCACGGTCGCCGTCGATGCCGCTGCCACTGCACTTTCGCGTCGTTTCCGCCCACCAATGGCATTTTCATCGCTTTGCGTGTCGCCGAATGCGCTTCACAGGTGATGAAATACGCAGTATTAGACAGCTCGCGCGCCTGATTCTCTCCGTCATCCCGCCTCGATGTTACAGATCCAGCGCTTTCACCAGCCTCATCAAGTCAGCACCAACAATCATCGGCTATAGCGCCATATCGCTCTCTGATATTACCGAGCGTGATCGCGGTCATGGAACGTGGTCAAGATGGAGACGCGCCATCCGAGGTCTTCGTGGACGAACAGCCGCTTGCAAAGCGACGGCGAACATCAGAACAACCTGCTCGGGAGGTTGGCTTGATGCGAAGCGTCCCTGGTGACAAGTTTACAGGCTTCGTGGGCAGTGCCAGCGGCATCTTCTTCATTAGGTCAGTCTATGGTGCGATCCGACGCTCTGCAGTGCCTACAGACGGCGAAACACCCGGCAGCGACATCGTGCCAGGCGAAGACGACCATCTCTCTCTAGTGCAACCGAATTCCTCCGGACGCTTATGGCGAGAAGCTGAGATCTCACACGGTCAGACCTCTCGCATAACGTTTCGCGACCTGGTCGCTTTTTCTGGGAGCTATTTTGCGAATTGGCACCCGTTCTACCCGTTCGTGCACGCCCCGACCGTCCTAGAGTACTTCGACTGCTGTGCAAGAAATGGCTTTCCAGATCATGGTGCTTCGGAAGACCTACAGCTGGTGATAGTGCGTTCGATCATGTCCATCTCGCTTGCAGACCATCGACAATCACCAGGGCTGCCGAGTACTCGACATCCTGCCTGTATCGTCTTTCCATCGTATGATGCTGCTGTAGATAGTCTCCGGACGATACTTTCTCGTCCCACGACAATACTCACGCTACAAGCCGCACTCAGTGTGCAGCTCTTCCTAGTCTCCATGCTTCGCTTGAATGCCGCCTCCCGTCTTGGAGGGCTTATAATGCGGATGGCTGTGCAGCTAGGCCTTCATCGTTGCCCAGCCAGATTTTCGACCTTCACTTCAAGCACAAAAGAGCTTCGACAACGCGTCTTCTGGTCACTTTATGCTGTTGATCGGCTTCTTGCCCAATCCATGGGCCTCCCACTCGGCCTACCTGACGACGATATCGACGTCTGCTTTCCCCTCGCGGAACACCATCTGCAAACGCGCGTCGAGCCTCGTAAGTCAGCTAATGTCTCTTTTGTGCCATATCTCACAACGTGCAGGTCGTGAACTCCACCTGCTGCACCTGGTTGCCCAGCAAGCCAGGCTGCGTGGCGAAATCATCGAATTGCGCAACAAGTCGCTACACTACGTCCAGCATGATCCTGACCGAGCGACATCAATCATAGCTAAACTTGGCCAATGGTGGAACGATGTAGAGGACTTCATCGACCCGGATAGCCGATGTGGCGCTTCTCCTTACGCGACTGCAGTGTTGATACTACTTAGACACGAGTTGATTATCTCGCTGTATCGTCCCGTCTTAGCTACCGGTAGTAAAGATGTCGCTTATAATGCCGCCTTACAACAGTGCATCAGTTCTGCGCGTAGCATCATCACTACCTTGCACACCGCTGTCCAGGGCAAAGACGGGTCTCAAACGCATTCTTACCAATTGGCTCTCCTTTGGCCCTCCTGCACCTGGGCTGTGTGGATCAGCACATTCATCATGTTCTACGCCGCCCACGAGGGCCACATTGATCACAGCATCGTCATAAGGTAATCAAAATGTCGAAATTGTATACTTCTACTAACATGTACAACCAAGATTCGCAGATAAAAGTCTCGACATACTTCAACACCTCACGCTACGCGGCAGTGCTTGGCCTGAAGCAAGCTCTGCGGCCATTCGAGACTTACGGGCTCGAATGCTGCAGAAGTCGGCTCAAATGGTTTCTAGATACGACTCGGAGGTCGCGGGAGATGCGACCCTTGCTCAAAAAGGTGAATTGAACGTACATTCAAGCCTGCACGAACAATCATTACCTACTCGCAACGATGGTCCAGAACAAATCGGTGGCCAAAGGAGGAACGATATCGATCCTCATCATGACGCGCAGTATCCTCCATATGATGCAGCATTCGATTCCAGTGCGACGAGCAACCTGAACCACAATGCTACTTTTCTTGAGCACAACAGCTACTGGAACATATTCGTTGGAACGGAGGGTGCCAACGCTTCATCAACAGAGTACTCCAACGGTCTAGACCCTTTCTCTGGCTTCGACATCCCCTTCTGGTTCGATCAAGAGCAGCATTGGGAT